AAATAATTTTATGGCTGGGGGCCACCACAGCATGCATAACTGCATTAAGCGGCCAGCATTAGGAAGGTTGAGAACTACTGCTCAAGTAGGTAGTCCTCCATCCTGAGTATCCTGCAGCTCTATGTGGACTCAGTGGTGCAAACAGCACATGAAGTTGTGAGAAAAAGTGTTAGTGAGGAGAAGGGGAATAACTGGAGGGAAGGGGGAGGGGATTTGAACAAAATACATTATGTGCATGTATGACATTCTGAAAACAACCAGCCACCACACAGGGGACAAAGGTAATAGTGTCACGTGTGCAGTGCTATGCAAAGCTTTGCTCTATTTTTTACTATCTACCCTCTGGCTTTATATTCATATTGTAACTTGTTAGTTCAAAATTGATAGTTTTAAAATCTGAAATCTGTAATTACTTCACTACACAGTTTTACCTATGCCAACAGTCACCTATTCTTTGAGGTGGAGCTGGGACTCAGAATTAAACTCAGGACTTCACATAAGCCAGAGGCTCTACCAATGAACTACATTCTCTGCCAATTAGTTATTATTAAATCACAAAACATAATGTGCCTTGGTCTTTACATTTTCATACAGGTAAGTATCTAATTTCTTTATAATCTTTTCTTCTTTCTATATTTGAAACAGAATCTCACTATATATTCTAGGTTGGCCTCAAACTCACCATGATAGTCCTGACTTAGCCTTGTAAGGATGGGGTTACAGGAATGTGCCACTCCTGGCTGTGTTATGCCTTTTAAATTAAGAAAATCCTCCCTCCTTAGTTAATATTTAGTGTTTGAAAAGTAATTTTAAATACTTAATTTACAGGAAATATTTTATTAAGTAAAAATGTAAATTTCTTTTCTAAAATATTTACCAAATTTCCAAGATGGCCAGTTACTAATAATCTGTAACCTCCTGATATATAATGCACTTCTTAAATATATATATATATATATATCAGGGTCTAAATAATTACAATCTCACTTTAATGATCTATCTTTACATTACTATCACATCATTTTTCCTCCACTACCTTTTATTCTTCAAATTCCCTTTTGCTCTTCGTAACCATTACAATTTTCTGTTTCTGTCTGAGACAGGCTCTTAGCATTCAGCATAAGCTAACTTGGGATTTGCTGTCTTCCACCTCGGCCTCCTGAATGTGGTAAATGCCCTCATGCACCACTACCCCCACCTCACCTATAACTTTCCTCTTAAAACCCTACTCTATCACTCTTCTAGATGTTTGCTAAATTACATAAACTTAAAATGTATTGTCTGTCTTTTACAGAAGGTATTTTTTTTAGCACAGGGTTCATGTAGCTCAGGCTTGCTTCACATCTGTAACACAGTAAAGGATGACCTCGAACTGATGCCTCTGTATCTAATCTCCAAGTAGGAACCAGCACACCTGACAATCCCTGTGATCTGTGAAGAACACACCCTACAGAGGAAATCTAATTTCCCACGGAGAGTTCTCTCCCAGTCCTCCCTTCTGTTTCAGTGTCTCCTTCCTTACTTCCCTCTCCATTGGGCACTTACCCTTCTCTGGCCTCAGGAATGGCCTCCTTACACTGGGCACAGTGCCACTGCAACTACTCTGCTCATCTGAGGTGAGCATTTGGAATTTTTAAGCTTTAAATGTACAGTTTAATGAAAACACAGAAGACTTCACATTGAATAGAAAGGCAAAGGGTCATATTCTCATTAAGTTTTGCCAAATTTGATTTCTTTAGGTTAATAAAATAAAAACCAAAAGCCCCATTAATATAAATACTTCTATGGATACAAAAGGGATATAGCTCAGGCCTAGAACTGTCTAGCAGGCATGAGACCAGAGGATCCATTCCCAATACCAAAGAAAAAAGAAGTCCACTGGAGAATATAATCGTTTTCTTTTAATTTAAGCTATATCTTTGGGATAGCAGTAAGATTGGTTTACAAATGATAATTTGTAATTGTCAGAAATTATGCATTATAAAACTATACATTATCCCCTGAACAAGGAAAACCAAAAGTTAATATTATCAAGAATATTTTCTTCATAAAGCTAAAACAGGCAGAATGTCAAATATTTGTGGGTCACTAGGGCGTGGCACACTTTCAATGGATTAGATGATTTGTTCTCATTGGAGGAAGTGTGTTACTGGGGATCAGCTTTGGCTTTGAGGATTCAAAAGCCCACACCAAGCTCTGTGTGTGTGTGTGTGTGTGTGTGTATGCCTGCTTATCTGCCTGTGGAGTAGGATGTAGCTGTCAGCTATAGCTCCAACACCTCCCCCCATACCCCCACGCTTCCCACCATGATAATGGACTAAACCTTTGAAAACGTAAGGCAGCCCCTGACTAAATGCCTCCTTTTATAAGAGCTGCCGTGTCTCTTCATCATCATATCTCTTCACAACAACAGAACACTGACTTCTGTGACAGGTCTGACCATGCTGGTTGTTGGCAGAATAGAGACTTTGGAATAGGAAAGCAGTTGAACCTGGAGCTTAATGGGGCAAACTAGTTAGAGTGTGGAAGACAACAGTGCTTACAGCAATGCAGATTATGACAGCCCAGCTCAAGAGGTTTCAGAGGAAAAGATTATTAGTCAATGGCCTAGAGACTGTTGTTCTGATATTTTGGCAAAGAATGAAGCGGCTTTCTGCCCTTGTCAAAAAAAAAAAAAATCTACTTGAGACTAAATTGCAGAGTTCTGAATTGATGGCATTGGCAGAAGAGATTTCAAGACATCCTAGCACTAACTCTTGTGGTTATTAGTGGTCACTATTCTGTAGATCTATAATGAAAAGACGCAAGCTGAGCAAGGAAAAAGACAAAACATACATTTTGAGGAGAAAAGGAGCACCAGGAAATAGAGCAAATTCCTGGGCTCAAGGAGATGAAAAGCTTAAGGAAAGGCCTGAGGCTAAGAGGAATAAAGGGAGTGGTGACTTCAGGGCAAGACACACCCAGCTAAGCTTCCAGTTTGTGAAAGGAATCAAAGAGAAGCTTAGGCAGTGAAGGAAACAGACAACAGAAAGCTCATGCAGATGTAACTGAACAAGGGAACCATGTTTCAACCTCAGCAAGCAACAGAACTTGGCAGCTTTGGCCATGTGGTTCTGACTTTAGAGCCAAGTATACAAAAAAGGGGTTACAGAATCTCCTTTTGTGGCTAAGGAAAGCCACAGAGGCCAGGTGTGTTTCAGGGGTGTCCCCACTTGGAGGCCCAGAAAGAACATTGTATAAAGCTGTAAAAGTGAAGCCTGAATTGTGTTGGAGACCCCAAGATGCTGGAGATGCCAGAGTCACAGAATATCTGCTAAGGAAAGCTGCAGACCAAGTGTAGAACCAGCCCAAGAGAGAAAAGTGTGTTATAGTCAAGTCAAAAGCTGAAAGGAGTTGGGGATCTGAAGAATGCTTTGACAACAGACCTAAGGATGCAGTTTGGCCGGGCAGTGGTGGCGCACGCCTTTAATCCCAACACTTGGGAGGCAGAGGCAGACGGATTACTGAGTTCAAGGGCAGCCTGGTCTACAGAGTGAGTTCCAAAACAGCCAGGGCTATACAGAAAAATCCTGTCTCAAAAAATAAAAAATAAAAAAATAAAAAATAAAAAAAGATGCAGTTTGGAGTTTGCCCTGATGGTTTTATGTATTACTTTGGTCCAGTATTCCCTCATTATGCTCCAACCCCCCCACCCAGAACATTAATGTATAGTTTGTGACACTGTATGTTGGAAGTATGTGGTCCTTTTTTTATTTTGATTTTTACAAGGGTTACAGTTAAGATTGCCTTGAGTCTCAGAAGAGACTTTGAACTTTGTAGTTTTAAACAATGCTGAAGCTGGGCAGTGGTGGCGCACGCCTTTAGTCCCAGCGCTTGGGAGGCAGAGGCAGGTGGATTGCTGAGTTCGAGGCCAGCCTGGTCTACAGAGTGAGTTCCAGGACAGCCAGGGCTACACAGAGAAACCCTGTCTGGAAAAAAAAATTAAAAATAAAAATAAAAATAAAAAAAAAATGCTGAGACTGTGGTAGACTATGGAGCCTTTAAAGTTAGACTGAATGATTTTTGTATCATGCTATGGCTACAAGCCTATGGGGGCCAGGGAGTGGGCTGTGGTGGTCTGAATGAGAACAGTCTGTACAGGATCATAGACTTGGTCACTAGGGGGTGGGACTAATTGAAAGAATTAGGAGGTGTGGCCTTTCTGAAGGAAGTGTGTCACTGGTGGTGGGCTTTGAGGGTTTAAAAGCCCACACCAAACCCAGAGTATCCTTGTCTGTCTATGGGTCAAGTCTCAGCTACTGCTCTAGCGCCTACCTGCCTGCATGCTGCCATGATGATAATGGACTAAACCTCTGAAGCTGTAAGCCAGCTCCAGTTAAATACTTCTTTTAAAGGAGTTGCCAAGGGCATGGTGTCTCTTCACAGCACTAGAACAATGACTAAGACAAGCTGTTGGGACCAGAGCAGCTTTCGCTAATGAAAACAATACCTTATTGTAATTGCCTTCAATTTTAAAAAGTAGCAGAACTGAGTACACAGGGCACAGAACTACTTCACATGAAGGGTCCCCACAGCTTGCTCTACTTTAAGACAAGATTTTGGTGGGCTTCGGTCTGCCACAGCAGTATACATCTATAATCCCAGCACTCGGGAGACAGAGGCAAGGAGACACCTGCAAGCTGGGCTACATAGCTCGTTTCAAGAAAGGCTTATAGAAATAAACAAAAGCGTCTTAACCCTCAAAAGTATAACAAAACAAAACCACACAAGATATTAAATGGCATTGTTGGGATTATTAAAGTAATGCTAATTTTACTTCTATGATACACATGATTGTTTAAAAAATTTAGTGTAATATTCACATTTTCCAAGATTTTCTACAATGTAGTATCACAAAAATGTTACCTCAATTACATCCTCCTACTTTCCCCAAGTCTTACAAACATCATCTTTCAAATAAAAATAATCAAAATTTGTCACTAGAAATTAAAACTGCTCACCATGATACCACCATTTTGTTTTCTTTGGATTCTTGTTACATGTTCGCACATAAAAGGAATTGTCTGGTGGTCTTCTCTGAAACAAAAACAACAAAAAAAGAATTTAAACATAAGTTCAGAAAGTAAGTAACTGAGAGAAGTGAATTTAGCAAAATGATCATACAATGAAGGAAAACAACTGGACACACTAAGCATAAGTAGAATGTCAGCCTAAGTGTTTTCAGAAGGTGTGGGAGTGTCAGGTCAGGACACAGCACCCACGGACTTCATGTTTACCTCTCCTATCAAGTCACTTAATGACCACTTACATGAACTAACTCAGAGCCGACTTAATCAAGGCTGACGGAAGAACCACAGCAACTTTCAAGTATCCACATAGACTTATTATTTTATTGTAATGTATTAAGAACAGAGCAGATGATTCTGATTCAAACAGCATCTAAGACAAAAGATGTTTTAGTGCTTGAAAGTAACAGTGGCCTCGCTGTTCCTATGTGTCCTGACTGGAACAATACAGAAAACCTGGCATCCCTGCAGGACATCTGGCAAGAGTGATGCTCAACACATTGGAGGAAGACTGGGAGAGACCCTGCCTGAAAGTTACTGGGTACCAGACTGACATGAGACTATCTTTCTGTCAACAGTTCAAATGTCAAGTTTATTCTAATGCTGTAGTAGGAGGGACAATTTCCAACATAACAGAGAGCTCCTGGCTAACTTTTACAATGACTTTGATAAGACAATGTCTTTATTTCCCTATTAATATCTTTTGCAGTGTTTAGACTTAATTGACTATTTAGACCAATAAGGATGAGAGATTAAGAGAATTCCTTCTACTGAGGCTGATTAGGAATTGCATCATTTAAGAAAGGTCCAGGCAGGAAGTAGTAGCATGTGTGACAGACAACCTAGACTGCTGGGAAGAAAGCAGCCTCACCACTGAACGCTGCCAGTGCTCATATACTTATCTGTCAGCTGACCCTTACAGTGCCCTTACGAGTCCACACCAACGGTAATTTGAATCACCAACAAAAGACTGTTTGGTACAATCTGTTAACTATTCCAAGATTTCTCTGATACAATTTGAGAAAATTTCTTTAGAAATGAGGATTACAAAATGAAGTTATGTATTTATTACCTAGCACTCAGTAGAGTAACCATCAAGCATCTAATTAATGTTGAATTTTATCAAACTCACAGAAATCCTGACTCTTAAATTATCATCACAGTTAAACCTATCATACAACAATTCTACTAAAAATAGTTCATCAGCAGCAAACCAAATGGTGAGTGAAGTGATAGGGGTTGAAAAAAGATGGGAGGCAGATAGAGCAACAGTTTCTCTCTGGCACTTGGTGTAAAACATTCCATGTAAACACAAACAAATGCTAAATAATCATCGCTAATGACCATCAGGCCACACAAGAGCAGTGTGCAGACAATCCGCAGGGACCATCTCAATGGCAGTATACTCAAACCCTGTGGTCATGACCTCACTGTGAAGACTCATAGGCATATAGGAGCACTTGTAAGAACAAACTGCTCTGTCCCCCAGATGAAAAGCTTTGTGTGTGTGTGTGTGTGTGTGTGTGTGCGCGCACCTGCACACATGGGTACACAATATTGAAGCAATAAAAGAGGAAGACTCATAACGACTTCTATAGTTAAGGAAAGCTTGGTTACAGTCTTAAAATGCAGAAGAAACTAAACTTAAAGTGGCGTTAAGGCAGCTGGAGAGATGCTCATAGGTAAGAGCACTGGCTGCTCCTGCAGAGGACCCTTGTAGCACCTATTTGATGCCTCACAGTCATCTAGAACTCCAGTTCCAGGGAATTCAATGCTCTTTTCTGGCCTCCACGGATACCAGGCATGCTCACAGTGTACAGACATACATGGAGGTAAACTATCCATACATATAAAAAATAATATATTTGCAAAGTGCTATTAAAATGCATATATCATATATCATCTAAAATAGTTGTTTTACACATTTCAGTATTTCTGAATGGGGATACTGAATATGCTTAGCTGATGAACCATCTTGATGTACACAGTCCTACTCAAAACAAAAAAACAAAAAAAAAAACCCTCCTTTGAATTAACATTGAAGAAACTTACTTAGTAAAACAGTGACTCTGGGTGTTACAGCTTCTAAACTTATTGCTTAAAAATAAATGATTATTTTAAAGATTTTCTAAATTCTTATTAATAAAACAGCAGTGGATTTAATCTGGAGAACAGAAGAACAATCTGCTAAAGACACATGTATACTCCAAGATCTCCTACTTTAAAGGTATCTAAATATTTATTTTATTTTATTATTTTAATTTATATTTTCTTTTCTTTTCTTTTATTTTATATTTTATTTTATATTTTATTTTATTTATTTTATTTATTTTATTTATTTTATTTATTTTATTTATTTTATTT